GGTAGTGTTAAGTGAGTCATGTGGTAGTAGTGAGTCATGGTAGTAGTGGAGTCACGGTAGTAGTAGTGAGTCTACAGTAGTGGGTCATGGTAGTAGTGCGTCATGGTGTGGTGGGTCATGGTAGTAGTGGTCATGGTAGTAATGGGTCATGTTAGTAGTGAGTCATGGTAGTAGTGAGTCACAGTAGTAGTGAGTCATGGTAGTAGTGGTCATGGTATTAGTGAGTCATGGTCTCGTAGTGAGTCACGGTAGTAGTGAAATCATGGTGTGTAGTGAAGTCACAGTAGTATTGAGTCATGGTAATGTGGGTCATAGTATTAGTGGAACCCATGGTAGTAGTGTAGTCACACGGTAGTAGTGGTCATAGTAGTAATGGTCATAATCAGTGGTGAGTCGTGGTAGTAGTGAGTCAGGTAGTAGTGGGCCATGGTAGTAGTGAGTCACAGTAGTGGTAGAATCATGGTGTGGGTCATGAGGTAGTAGTGGGTCATGGTGATGGTGAACCATCGGTATTGAGGTCATATGGTAGTAGTGGAATATGAGTAGTAGTAGTCATGGTAGTGGTAGTCATAAGGTAGTAGTGGAATCATGGTAGTAATGGGGTCATGGTAGTAGTGAGTCATGGTTGTAGTGGGTCTGGTAGTGGAGTCACAGTAGTGGTGAGTCGATCTAGGAGTGGGTCTGAGTAGTGGATAATCATGGTGGTTGTAGTCATAGTAGTAATTAGGTCCATGTGTCAGTGGATGTCCATATTAGGTAGTGGGTCATGGTAGTAGTGAGTCATGATAGTGCGTATTGGTAGTAGTGGGTCATGGTAGTAGTGGGTCATGGTAGTAATGGGTCATGGTAGTAATGGGTCATGGTAGTAGTGAGTCATGGTAGTAGTGGGTCATGGTAGTAGTGAGTCATGGAAGTAGTGGGTATTGGTAGTAGTGGGTCAAGGTAGTAGTGGGTCATGGTAGTAGTGAGTCATGGTAGTAGTGGTTCATGGTAGTAGTGGGTCATGGTAGTAGTGAGTCATGATAGTGCGTATTGGTAGTAGTGGGTCATGGTAGTAGCGAGTCATGGTAGTAGTGAGTAATGATGCACCTTTATATTCGTCCAAAAGTTCGAGTATTTCGAGAAGATGTAAATGTCCCCAATACATGGTAAAGTTCAGGCAGGGGCTCAATCAATCCACAGGTTCTAAAACTATATCGTGGTCAATTTGAACCTCCGATATAGAAACGTATCCTTGAAGGTAATGACATATGTTATGGCAATTCTAAAAATGATGCATAAAAATCGTATTAAAAGAATATATAGAACAATAACAAAGTAAATCTGTCTTTATTATCTACATAGATAATATCGCTGGCTTTTTTTTACAGGGATTAGCACACCTGGGCACAGGTCACTAACCCACATCGGGGCCTGGGGGCAAAAATGTATTATTATTGATGATGATGATGATGATGATGATGATGATGATGATGATGATGATGATGATGATGATGATGATGATGATGATGATTTAAAGAGTCATAATAAAAATAATAATAATAATAATGAAGACCCATAGAGAAAGAACAAAAAAGATCAAGAGTGAGAAACGATATAGTATGTTGTGTTCTCAAAGTGAGAAACAATTGAGGCCCTGCAATTGTATGTAAATGAGGCAGAAAGTCAAATGAGCAGCCTGGAACTTGGTCACAATTTTTGTGATGCCATATGGCAGCAGGGTCTACCATTAGACAACAAATTAATTATGCTTCCAATATCTTCCCAGGTGGTAGTACCTCCCTGTTTGATAGCTGCCTTTTACTTACTACCATAGGAATCTTAATGGGGTAGGTTAGGTTAGGTTAGATAATGTTAAATTGCCGTTTGGGTGTTTAATCTTGAGGTAAAATAAGTTTCACGTGAATTAACTATGGTGTCAAACTAGTACCAAGACTCATCCCTATAGTTAAAGAGAAAACATGACCTCCTTGCTGTATCGTTGTGACTCCAGAATCTAAATCGTGGAATCCATATATAAGTGAACACGACTACCTCTTAATTCACTACCACAGCAATTTCCCGTCGATAAACCCGCGTCACACTGAGCAGCTTTGTTACAGCACACGCGCTAGTGGGTCACAAACTCTGTGCAAATAGTGACCAAGTGGGGCACAGAGTACGGTGAGGCTTTGTGTTTCCCGCCAGTATAGATTATTTGTGGTCCCCCTCCTTGTTTACGCGTGTGAGAGCACGACGATAAATATCCGGTCTAAATCTGGTTATGTGGCGTCTCCATCAGAAAGGTTATAGGTGTGTCAAGGGGAAAGAGAGCCAGAGGGAGAGAAAGAGCGAAAAGGGGAATGGGGAGGAGGTGTTAGTAATATAATACAAAATGTCAGCAGGAATTGGGAGAGACACCCAGTAAGTCGGTGGAGTTACCGGGACTTAAGTTAAAGGGTGAACCCCGGCCACCAGTGTGCATATTCAACGAGGTAACACAATCTGCAGTTCCAGTGGCCAGGTGACTGCACCGCTTACACTCCACCAGAAAGGCTGTAGAGAATAATCTGGACTCCTTCAGGGGTAACTTTAACGTTCATTAGAACTTTTCCGAATAAACCTGCTGTCCTTTTTCTCATATTTCATTCACTCGAATTTACTGCTTAAGCTGATCTGCTTCACGAGCATTTAGAAAAATTTCGCTCACCTCCACCTATAATAGTGGTTTTTTTTTTCCTTCACAAACACTACGACATCATCTCGTTTTCACGCTTACAGATCCAGCGACTGATCCGGTCTCCGCCACGCGCCACATACCTTGCTGGTCGACTTTTCGGAATACAAATCTGAAAAAGTCTCATTTTTACCTATTCAGGCATCACATTCCCAGAACACCTTCGAGATTATTTTATTTTCGTATTTGCATACTGCAGGTTTAGATGTATTGATTCCTGAGTTGTGTGTTGAGCAAGACGGTGACATAGTTGATAGATCCATCACCAGTGTTAAATCAGCGACACATAAAATGAGTTTAAAAGTCTCACAGTTGAAGTTCGCTGATTGTTTCAATTGTGAGAGAGATTTGTATGTAAATTGTTGTAGTTGTTTTCCAGCAAAGACTAATTATACCAAGTCAACCTACTTCGAGTCAAAATTCTTCCAACACGTCATCTGGCCAGCAGCCCGATGGGGTTGCCCGGGGGGTGGTCCGGGGTGCGTGATTTTTTTTCATGAGGGCTTCTCCATTTTCAACAAGCAGCACCGTCGCAGTGTTTGAAGCTCGGCACCACTCTACACTCCGTAAGAAAGAGAGAATAAGAGACGCTCATTCATGTTTGGCTTAATACTGCATATCCTAACGTAATAGATACTAATAAACAAATAATAACCTAACCTAACCTAACCCAACCTAACCTAGTCACGGCCAAGATAGAACGAATTCTTGCTGCCACCAGCTGATTGTACAGTGGTGTAGCGCTTCAAGCACTGCAACCCTGCCGCTTGTTCAAAATGAAGGAAGCCCTCAGGAAAAAAAAAATCGCGTCAGGGGTGGGAGCTCAGTTATCAGCTGGCCGTCGTGATGCGAATGTCTAGGACAATGCCTAATAAATGCTCCGTATTTGGATGTATATTAAATTACAAACTATTTGATAGAAGTTTGAATTTTCATCGATTTCTAATGGACGAAAAACAGAGAAAAAAGTGGATTTTATCGTGCATGCAGCCAGGGCCGGATTCATGAGTGGGCAAAGTGGGCAGCTGCCCAGGGGCCTCCACAATCCGGGGGTCTCCACATATTACAATATTTTATTTATTTGTTTATTCATTTAGATTATTATTTTTTCATTCTTTAAAATTCATTTTTATCTATTCTATCACGTCTCCAGTCATGTCTCACTTTTGTGTGTGTGTGTGTGTGTGTGTGTGTGTGTGTGTGTGTGTGTGTTGGGAATTTGTACACTATCAATAAATACACAGTTAATTAAAAATTTCTCAATGTTCTAATTTCCTCAATATAACTACATATGGCTTCAAAATTCTCCAAAGAAGTGTTCAAATTTCAAAATTTTCCCGGGGGGCTTACAGCGCCCCCCGGAACTCCCAGATGTTTAGGCTCGCTTCACTCGCCACCCCACCCTCTTGGGTAGTTATAATGAGGGGGGCCTCCACAAAGAGGCTGCCCATGGGCCTCCACAGGTCTAAGCACTGCATACAGCAAATATATAGGGTGCAACAGGAGGAAGGGCTATACTTGGGAGCAGTTGGCAGGTTTAAATTTAAATTCCCTTAAGTCTAACTTTCAGCCAGGAAACCAGATATGGAGAGACAAGTACCTATTTGTTGTTGGAAACTGTTGTACAGCCTAAGTATCTGTAATATGTCTTATGACCATATTGATAAACTGAAAACCTCTACACATATATACTTGTATTCACTGATTTACTGTAATAGCTTGGGGAGAGAGAATGATGATAATTATAATCAATAATTTGTTTTTATTATTTTCTTTAACTATTCTATCTAATTCTTGTATTCCTTCTGCCCTCCCAGTAAATAGCTAGCCCATATGCTTATGATTACTTATTGCTTTGACAATGATACTATTAGCAAAATTATAAGAGTTTAAATAATAAAAAATAATAATAAAGAGAAAAATAAGAGGATTGTCAATAATAATAATAATAACTTTTAATAATAAGAATATGAATGTCACAAAAATAATGATTACATAAACAGTTCAAGTGGCTAACTCAAAGATAGTGTGCTAGGGGATGAGAAAATCAGGATTTATGGCTAGACTGTCATCTAATACAGTGGGGTGGCCAACCATGTCACACAATAAGCTCTGCCCGTGCGAGTGAGCTGACTTGGGTTAATTCGACTTTGGTTTTCCAGGATACGCTGAATGCATTTTCTAAAGTATCGACAAGAAAACAATAATATAATGTTTACTAAGAAAAGGATTAACTGTGTTTGAATAAAGTACAATACTGTTGAAAAATCGTCTTTCTTTACAGACCGGGATGACTCACGTAGTGTAGACCACCTGAGGAGGATGGCTGCACCTGTACGATACCTGGGAGGGGCAACACAGGACACCATGCGTGACCCCAGCTGCCTAGGACGCCTACTTTCGGGGCATGATGGTGGTGAGGCTACGTCAGATACCAAAGTGACAGGGGAAATAGGAGGACCTATGGGGCACCCTGGGTTGTGGGAGGCGGGAGGCTCACTGGAAGAAGAGCGCTCCCTTCACCTTCCGGCTGACATGCCCGAGGGTCACGCTGCCTCTGTTCTGGGTTCCCGAGGCATTCTCACTTCTCCTGAAGCTGTGTCATCTTGTAACTTGAAGAAATGCAACAGGGGCGAAAACATTCAGTGCCGTTGTATGTACTCCTGCCCTACACGGTTCCTGCCTGACACACGCAGACACATTCACAGTGGACACGCAAATATAACCGTAACGACAAACTTCATGAGAAATGATTACTGTAAGGCAGGAGAAAACTTCATATACCATGCATCGAACTACTCTTGTCCTCCCACGAACTGCAGCAGGAGAGATTTCACCGCGAACTCTCCGAAGAGATTAAAAAGGGGCAGTAAGCTATCTGGGCATCACCTGGGTCTCCGATTACCTGCAGGAACGATTAACCTGGAGGTGGGGGCACTACTGTTGGTGGTGGCCATGGTAGTAAGCTCGTGCCACGCCATGCCCACCCTGCTGCCCCAACCCTCCCCCAGTGGGGCCAACACCTCCCAGGAAACACTCAAGAGGGGTGAGTACTGCACCTTCCTTTTCCCTCTGCCATCTCTGGGGACACCTGTCTTGTGATGTGCAGAATGTGTATTTTTGTGGTTTTTATGTGTTATTATAATATGTTTAAATTGAGAAGGGGCCTCTATCTCCCCATTTTCCCTCTTCCACCCTCGTATAAGCATCAACAAATTAAGATGAATAACAATACAAAAGTTTAAGTATTTCTATGTTTAATATCTCCCCTAAGTTCTGAATATAAAAATAAAAATTATTAATACTTTTTTCATATATATTACGTATAACAGTTGCCTTCTTATGATTGCTACACAACTCTGTACACCTGTATATATAAACAAATGATATGCCTTGAATAGTTGTCAATACGGACTCGCTGTGTGCAGGTAACTACCACCAAAATATAAAACGAATCAATCACAACTAAACTAAATAGTCTGGAAAATATAATTTTGTTCGGTTAAGTTTGATATGTTCGACAAGTTGATTTTTACAACGGATTTCACGAAAAAATGGGCGCCTTTAATTGTTAAATAGTTTGTCGTGGGCACTAGTTCACGGCAAAATATCCACGTCGGTATATGCAAGGAACGCAAAACACTTGCATAAATAAAAATATTACTTTGTCGGGTACAGAAAAAAGGCCTATTTACAAAGAAGAAACCAGTAAAAACGTAAAAAAAAGCAAGAAGAAGAATGAAGGGAAAAGAAAGACACAAAAAACATAGAGCAGAGGAGTAAATAGAGATATAAAGGAGAGAATAAATGAGGAACGAACATTATCCAACAAAAACAAGGTAAATCAACACAGACCTGCGGGTTAAGGAGACAATGTCACACACACACACACAGAGCTCCTGTTCCCAAGATAACACGATTCCCTCCTGCACAGCTTAAGTCAACAAGAGTTTTACACACCTCCCCAGCTATACATTTTTCCTAAAACCCAGTTTCCCTTTGTAGTCTGGTGTAATATAAAACATCTTAAATTATACCGTGAAGCTGTGTTTTACCCGGTAGCATTGTGTAGAGGATTCCAAGAGTTGGTTGACGATGGAGCAGATGTGAATCTTGAATGTGATATAAAATCTTATTGATAAGATGCTCATTAACCTTTGAAAATCTACACATTTCTATTGGTAACAAAGGAAGGTGCGTCCCGGGTTTTGTAGGTAATTGGGTTTGAAGGATGACTATTTCTGTTTATTATTACAAATTGGAATAATGGGATCACCTCAAGATTAGAACCCCCAACTTATTGCACCTGATGATTAAACATCCAATCGCTACTGGAGATGTTATGTTATGTTTGGTAGTCGTTAGGGCGGTCATTCTTAAAGTAAGCTGGGGACAAATCTTCAGGTGATCCAGATGTTGGTATAATATCCGGCAGTTTGGTAGCCTCCGAATAAAAAACAAAAGAAAAGAAAATTAACGTTGGTGCTTCAAAAACCTAGAATTTTAAATACGTTATTACACTCCTAGTTATAAGAGGTAGTTAGTCAATACTAATTTATAGATAAGTTGTAGACCAATAAGGTGATATTGAGGCACTGTTGACATAGTTCACTAGCAATGGCACCGCTTCAGTGACTCGGAAACCACCGTGACCATCGACTTTACTCGGTCCGCTTTCAGGAGGGCTGGGCGAGTCATTTCTCCCTGTCCTGCTCCATGACCTCGGGAATCAGTTGAACAGGGTTACAGTTATATAATTTTTATAATAGTAAAATTTCAATGAAATATATGGAATTCATGGAAGAAATAATGCCATCAGATATTAAACTAATATAAACCTCTTAACCCTAAAGTTCATTACTGGAACTTCTCGTACACTTGCTTACTTTCTGCTTTGGATTGCTGGCCGTCAACACCTGGGTCAATACTGCTGCAGCAAAGTTGAAGACACATTCCCATGCAGTGCCGTTTTTAGCAGTGTTTCAGCAGACTCCACTCTGGTAATATTCTAATGCAAAATATTAATTTTCTTCTTTGCATAAGCTTTCTTTTTTTTTTTTTTTACAGAAACATATAATTTTAGAACACAATTGATGGTAATGGAAAATTTTCTTCTTTGTTCTATTAAATTCCCAATTGCACTAAAAAAAATATGAAAAATAGTTTCTAGAGGGATAGGAGCCAATTTTGGGAGCTGCTCACAGCTCTCGGTACACTACAGGTATATTCTGTACCCAGCAGGCTTTGCCAGTTGGGTATTATTTTTATTATTGTTATTATTATTATTACTAATATTATTAGTTTACTCAAAACATGCAAGAGAACCGCTTACTTGGATATAACGTATTAGTGTGTCAGTTGTACATAATCGTATGGGTGTGAGCTAACTTACACATTCACTTTTACGAGATTGTTCTATAAACCAGTGTGAAATATTCAGATAATATTATATATTTATGAATTACCTTTCAAGGGGTCTTAATTAGTGGAAAGGCTGAAACCAAGCTCGTATAACCCTCCCGTATAATTCTCATCGATTTACCTTATCTGAATAAATGACTTTAACTCCACTTCCTGCTTTTAATGTCCCCTTCTCCTCTTCCAGTCAGATTTACACACGTTGAAAATTATGGGAAAATATCGCTGCGTATTCTGCGTATATTAGCCTAAGTTTATTCTGCAAGTTATACAGAAAAGCAGGTATGATTTTTAGGAGACAAAGGTTTACGTAGGTGAGGGTTATGAAGTATGACACTAATGTAATACATCTTTTGAAGTTATATATTATTATTATTATTATTACCAGTAGCAATTTTTAGTACATATAAACGACAAGAGATTATTAACTAACTATTAATCATTATTATATATTCTTCTTAATATTTTCTTTTATCTGGCGACAATCTAACCTAACCTAACCTAACCAACAACCTAACTTACCCTGACCAAACTAACCTAACATAATTCTAAGGCGATTTATATTATTGAATTTCCTTTCGATTTAAACATTTCCTCTGATAGGTAAAGATGGGCCCCAGGCCCCACAGTGTAGCAGATCTGTCTTCCTCTCTCTGAGCATCACTAACAACAGGTTGATTGAACAACACGGTGGAATAACAGTGGAACAACAAAGAAAGATGCGAGTACAGAACTTCAATAACAAAGAGTTAACAAACAACAGTTGAATCACGAAAAATTTATATTTAACGTTCAATAACAAAGAATCAATAACATGTATCCCACAAAGAAGAAATCCTGTAACGATTCCCAAACAAAAGTTCAGTACCAGAGACTAAACAAAATATTCCATAACAAAAACATTCACAACAGAGGGGATACCATAACAAAGGTTCGATAACAGAGATTCAATAACAACTGCATAGTTTCTTTCACCCCTTCCCCCTCCTACCCCCAGCTCCCCCCTCCCCCCAGCATCCCCAGTGTCTGATAGTTCCCTTGATCTTTTACGAGTGTGTATATAGTGAAGGTCACAAGCGTTTCCTCTGTTATTACAACACACAGGAGCAGAGCGAGTAGTGCTAACTTACTATTATCAAATTTGGAATTTTAGTGTGCATCAGTGTATGAAAGTGTGATTTGTATTCTCTGGTTCCTATCTGGTTGTGTAAAAATATGATGTATTTTGAATGTGTATAGCTATAATGATAAAAGGACGTGTCTGTGTGCATGTCTGTCAGTTCCGCCGTAGCTCTAAAACGGAAGCATTTAGAGACTTGAAGCTTTACACACCCATATTACATGGGTCCCAAGGTTGTGGACCTTGGTATTACTATTGACCACGGACACCCCAGTGGTCGGTCGGGCACAAACCATAAATCTTCCCCGACTGAGTTAATCACCACCGCGATTACGGGAGGCGGTAACCCGCATCAGGGAGGACAAACTGTGACAGTCAAGGTTATACAGTTCTTACCAAAAGCTGTGTGAAGCCGAGTAATTTTGCTAATGTGATTATAAGTGTACCTGTTCATACATTATGGTTATCTGTGTAAGTTTGTGTGTGTGTGTGTGTGTGTGTGTGTGTGTGTGTGTGTGTGTGTGTGCATAGTCTATTGAGCATAGTTTCGACCTCACGTGTATGCAGAATAATGAGACAATACCCGCAGATGCTCCCCAGACATCGAGGTGACGTCAGTGGCAGAACTCTGAACGTCTACACTCCTGAATCTTCCGTATGTTCGTCTTACAAATCACAAATACGGCAATTTACTTAAGCTGTGACGCAACCCAAACCTCCCTTTTGAACATTGGGTTGTGAGAAGTGTTCAACAGACTCCTCCCGCCAGGTGAATATAACGCATAACTATCTACAAACTCACTGAATGTGTTGCAGGTGAAGCTGGCATAACTAGAGAGCGTCGACTCCCTCCTCCACTCACTTTGTGGATGACAAAGCGTCTCTCGATGAGATGGGGAAGTCGCTGAAGTACGACATGATGGCTCTCAATACAGTTCAAGTTTAGAAGCTCCAAAAGTTGTTGGTAGCGAAAGGCAGAGCGGGGAAGATGACAGAGGAAGGAGCAGGAGGTTAGGAAGGGAATTGTAGTGGGAGAGACAGTGCCGTGGCTTTACACGACTGCGTTTATTTGGTTAGCGCATAGCGCACGTATTTGGTTTTGTCTGTGTTGGGTGTGTGATCCTCGGGTCACCACTCCTCCGGATTGTGTCAGTTCAAGTTTAGAAGCTCCAACAACTTTCCCTGAATACGAATTCGCAACCTTTCGATTTACAACAGGTACCTACTTTACTGCTAGGTGAACAGGGACCAAGGGGGCTAGGAAGAGTGTCCAAACAACTTCCGCTTGCCCGGGAATCGAACCCGTGACATCTTGCTTGCGAGGCAATAGCGGTACCGCTTCTAACACAAGCGCCCCAATACAGAGGTCTGTTAAGCGAGAGGTTGACATATTATTTCTGACTCCGATTGAGTTTGTCAGGTTTCTGAGTCACATCAGATACACAAATGTATAATTCCGTCGCATTTGTGCACAGACAGACAGACAGACAGACAGACAGACAGACACA